TAGAATGTAAAAGATTTTTGCTTTCATATGACGATAATTTTTCATCTTTGTTCTGTGTACGTGCGCGTGTATGTGTGCTTGCTTGAATGTAAATTTGAATATTTATATTCGTTCAGAGATCGAAGCAGATCGGAAACATATTCGCTTTACCCTTACAACCGCTTGTTCTCATTCTTACGTTCATTTGTAGATATTCATATACATATATATAAATATTACTATCTGAAACATTGTGTATACTTTATTGCCTTTATTATATTGTATTAATTGTAATATGTAAAGTACGTGCAATTAGTTTATTTCAATCATTAAATTCATTAAGTATTAGCATGAAAAAACGTTGAGTATTAAATAACTGTAGCAACCTGATATGTCGGTCATGTTCCGTTAAAGTATATATATCTCTCTCAGGGGTAGGGTAAGAAAGTTTTCTATAACTCTTCTTATGCATAAATTTTAACCAACAACCCAAGAATAAGCAGATGTGCGGACGCAGATAAGGATGAAGGAGGCAAGCTACGTAGTGCGCTAGAGAGTCCAAGCAAAAATATTGCATACCTAAAATAAATAAAATATGCAAGGGTATAGGTGATGTTCAAAAATTGCGTTTACACTTGTTGTAAAAGGAGGTGAGAAAGCTCTATATGCCTTTAAGTTGACAGTGGACCAGCAGGAACTTTTCGCATGGGATACACATGTCAGTTTAAACAAACCTACTATAGGCAATAAACTCTAATTCGCTGATTATTGTGAAACTAAAATGTGGAGACTTGTAGGTAAAATAGCTTTTCTCGCCGGTTTATTAAAAAGCTTTCAAAAACTTAATAAATTAAGATTATGGTAGTATGTTAGCGTAAGGAGAGGCTGCCATATTATGCAAAGATCATTAAGACACTAGAGTAAAGGAAGATAGTACATTGCTACCCCACTTAATAGGATATTAACCGCTAAGTGGTTTAGTTGAATCGGCTGAGGGTAGCAAGTGAACTGACTTCGAACCCTTCAAGACTGAAGTAGGGATTATCTCGTAATATAAGATATATGCTTATTATAGTTTTACCAAAACATTCCAGGGGACTGGACTACAAAAAAAAAAAAAAAAAATAGTAAGCGAAGTTAAAAAATCATCTTCCGCCCTAAAGCGAGTAGAGTTTTACTTGTCTTGTATAAAAATATCCCAAGGAGTGGATTGAGGTGGCTGTATTCTCAAGCCCTTATACCACAAGTTATGCCGGGTGTAATAATTTTTCCGAATGAATTTTTCACTTTCCTAACTGCAATAAAAATTTAATCATTGCCACCCTTTTTTGTTCTTTAAGATCATTACTACACTGTTACAAAACGTATATATAGATAACATCTTTTATTAAAATATTTTATATTGTAAGGTGGAGCATTGGACTGTAATAGTTTGCAATAATTATGAACAAACGTTATGAGAGCAAGAGAGCGAAAAAACCTGAAATAAGCTCATTTACTCAGTTTTGTGCGAGGTACATGTGAGATTTTTAAGAACCGTTCAAATATCTGGAGGAAATTTGGACTGCATATGTTTCGGGATCCCTTTCTTACTGTAAAAAGTAAGCATTTATAAGGTAACTAGGCATGATTTTGAATATTTGGGGATCGAAATAAGTTTGCATTAGATGAAGAAGCGACGGATATTTAAAGATAGATTTTGCCTAAGTATAATAATTTTATTGTTCTCTTTTGAGAAAAAGACTTGTATGTGCGATAGTAGAATGTGTTGAATATATTCACTATACGAGCGCATAAACATACTACGGTTATAGCAAAGCCACTTGTGTGCGTCTGTGCATGCGCAAACAGGAAATGTTTACATTTTACTAAATTCATGTTGAAGATTTCTGATTTTCATGCTTACTTGTTGGTTCGATGTAATATTCACTGTCAAATGCACCCATCATTTTTCTGTTTTATCTGATATTTTTAATCTAATCTCGTCTTAATTTATCATTTATTTTTCGGCTGCATCTACGTTGCACAAAAAGTACCGAGTCTGTAGTTTTTTTAAATACCCGCGCGATGATATCGATGTTTATATTTATACCCTTATACACCATTTATAGTACATAGGTATATTAGGTAAGCGCGGACGTATGTAACAAGCAGGAGAGCTTGAGATAGACCCACCTTCTATATTATACCAATCGATTCAGAATCATAATCTGAGTTGGTCTAAACCTTCTTGCCCGTCTGTCCATGTATATTTGTATTCAAGCTACAGGTCGCAATTTTTGAGATATTTCGATGAAATTTGGTACAGTGACATTTTTTGGCCCAAGGACGAACGCTATTGGTTCGTATCGGCCCTCGTTTTCAACCACTCCTCATACAACACTTTATTCTGAAATGTAGTTATATGGAAAAAATTGTCGGCAGAAGTGGTTAAGTAGCAGTATTTCCGGCATTCTAAATTGGAATGAAAACTTTGGACCAGTTGCAGCAATTTTTGAACCCTCTCTCACATAACGAAAACTGTAGTTCACACGGCAATTTAATTCTATGCTTTGTGATGAATTTATATTACATTATAATAATAATTTAACGTAAAAAAATTTAAACCATCTCGGCCCTAATTACCCAAAATTTTACTATTATTACCTTCTTGTGATGGTTACATACACTTTGTCAAAAACTTCATAGCTACCAGAAATGAATTTCATAGATCTTATAAAATCGATATACTATTGATGTTTGTCAGTCCATCTGTCCATCTATCTTTTAACTGAATATAAGAAATCAAGGCGGACAGATACCCTGGCAAGCTTAGATTGGTTTAAAAAGTGATTTGAAATTGATCGGTATAACAAAGAGTGTATTTATATCAAGTCCTTCCGTGAGTTCCATACATCCGCACAAACTTAAAATACACCCTTATACCATAAGTAGTGTAGGGTATTAAAATAACTAACAAGTATTTTTTTTTTCAATTTCTTCCAATAAAATTTATTAAAATTGTTACATGATTTCCTATTTTTATATATCAATTTTTTCTTTTTTTTTCACTCTATTAAATTTTCACCATATAAATTATTCCAAACTTGAAATTTATTCATTACACCAGTGGGCATATCACCGAATATCACGTCAGAGCCAATATTTAACCATTTATATATACCCGCTGTCTTCACCTCCTCCCAATCGTTAACATAAACACAATTTGGATTTGAGTTTTTAGCAAATGTTGTCCATATTTTAATCAAACGCAGTATCGTTAAATATTCCTTTGAATCATTGTTTAATGGTCGCGAATAATAGGAATAGAAGAGATAGGATAAGTCATCGGCATGAGCCACACCTTCAGTTATATCGTTACCGCAAAACATATTCCGATGATGATTAAAGGTGGGCGAATCGAAATCGAAGCAATATTGATACGTGGATGCTGAAGCGTACTTTAAGCGAGCAGCGATGACACGATGAAGTGGATGCCAGAATAAGCGATAAGAAAAATACTTAAAAAGGAAAGAAAAATTTAATAAAAATTACAATTATTTAGTGAAGGGAGAGAATTGTTTTGACGTGTGAATCCTTCTCCTTTTAAATCGTTTTTTTTTTCTTTTATGGCTAAAGCTTGGAATCTTTTTGAATAAAAAATCGACTGTTGGTAGGATTAATTAAGCGCTAATCCTTTCAACTGGATAAGTCAATTGAAGCAATCTAAATTAATTATAATGACCGCCGGACTGACAACTGGTTGGTTTAACTCGGTTGCCTAACTCGATTAATCGGTTTTTTGCAACTTTTACTTTGTATCCATGTATATGAAAACGATTTCTTAAATCAAAAATTCGACTAATAATTAAAATCTAGGAATTGAGACTATTTTTACAAAGGTACGTGAAGCCCTAGCTCTAGCGAAGCTAAAAAAAAGCACAGCGGATCCTGGAGACTAAACTAATGATAGATAGATAGACTCACAATTGTGTCTTTGAGACATCTGCCCCGAGTCATTGAGATTAGCGCTTGTTTTATTAGATATAAGAAAAGGTTGTTTCAAACAAATTCATATCACTTACATCGAGAAAAAGTAAAATATTTTTCTCATTCAATTCCTTATCACCAAAATGCGTTTCTTTTAATGTTTCTGACAAGCATTTTACTTGTTTTCTTCTACCAAACAAGGATATGTCTGCAGGCAAAAGTTTTTCCGGTTGTTGAGCCAGCCTAGACATAATTTCTGGTCTCTTCTTTAATCTTGGATACATAAGTAAACCCTCAAACGATGTACCACCGATAACAACGGGTATTTCATTACCCCAAGCCGTTTTCATTGATAACCACAACGGTTGAGTTATAATGGAATCTTCAGCCTCGTATGTCTCAAATGATGGCATAAAAGCGTATAGATAACCCCTGGCCCGAACTTCATCATTTATGGCATCTACATCGATCAATTCATTAGCTGGCAAATGTTGCAAGAATTCCAAGACAAGTTTTTCATTATCTTTCGGACCCTTATAGCCCTTAGAGCAGGCAACGAGACACGATAAAACAGGCGCATCATAACTAAATGCCCAATTATTTAGCATACAACCGGACATACAAATTGCCTTGTGAAACATATGACGCGTACGTTCGGTACTGAGCAAGTAATGAATTGAAGCTGCCCCAGCACTCTCGCCAAATAAAGTTATATTATTAGGATCGCCTCCGAAATGGACGATATTTTTCCTAACCCATTCTAAGGCCAATACTTGATCCTTTAAACCGGCATTGCCGGGTACTTTCAAAGCAGGATCGCATAAACTAAGAAATCCTAGAGAAGAAAGCAAAACAAAAATGAAAAAATTTTTAAATTCAAAGTTGAAAAGATTTTACCCAATACTGATACGCGGTAATTGAAAGTAACCACAACTACGTCTTCATGCATGAGATAATCGGGACCGAATTTATCTTTAATACACGATCCAGTTGAAAAACCTCCACCGTATATCCAAACCATTACCGGTAATTTTTCTAAACTTTTTATCTGAAAAAAGGAAAAACAGATTCTTTTTTTCTAAAATTTCTTTCAACTTTTCAGATCTTAATTATTCACGTCTTTGCTATACACGTTCAAATAGAGGCAATCTTCTGAACCTTCTATTATGCCCATGTTGTTCTTTTGCATAGGTTTCACTTTGAATTCCGTGCAATTTCTTACGTTAGACCAACCACCGGCAGGTACAGGGGACTTGAAACGTAAGCTCCCCACAGGAGGTTCAGCATATGGTATGCCCTCAAAGCTATAGTAAATTTGATCGTATAAAGATGCGCATTTTCGACCTTTAATTGAACCTTGAGAGATTTCCAAGATCTCATCAGTTGTTCTGATAGAAAAATTGAACAAAAAAAAAAAAAAAAAATTACAAAAAAATTCTGTCAAGAAAATGCATTTGTATTTAATATCATTATTATTAATTTTTACGATTTGATTACTTGAAGATTTTTTGCAACTATTTTACAACACACTTTGTTTACCCAGATTGCATTACGAGACTCGTTCTTTTCTTAGAATTTGTTAAGTGAAAATGTTTAATAGCGGATTTTAAATGTTTAACTAAAGAGTAAGCATTGAACTGAACGACTCTTAAATTCTCAAAATGTGAAAAGCTTGCTGTCAAGTGGCGTGACATCTTAGAGATTGAAAGCTCTACAGTTGACGCTTGAGCAATAAGTACTTTGTTGAAAGAAATTTTGTTTTTTTTTTTTTTATTGGAATAATTTTTCCCAAATTGAAAGAATATCTTTCTCGGGGATTTCAGTGAATTTTATAACTTGATCAATTAATAAAGCCATGTAGTTATCAGAAGAATTTAAAGGTTTCCACTTCGTCGGTTGTAGAGCAAAACAATTGGGATCTGATGTTTGTGAAAAGCTTGTAAAAATATCGACAATTGTTTTTATCATTTGAAATTCCAATGTGCTGCTATCTAATTTCCAAGACGCTGATGAAAACCACAGATACGATAACTCCCCGGCATGAGGTACTCCTTTCTTTAAATCGTTGCCGCAGAATAGAGTACGGTAATGATTAAAAGTGGGCGAATCGAAAGCAAAGCGATAGCGATAAGTCGGTGCTTTTGAATAAGTTAAGCGAGATGTAATAAACCGTTGTATACCGTAATTGATTATAAAGCAGCCGTAAAACTGAAAATGAACAAAAATTTCAAATATATTTTAAAATTTTCATAGATACTTCTCTTTCCTCTCTTACCTTTATAAATTCTTGCAACATATTCTCTTTAGGTCCTTCATGGCCAAAATGTATTTCAATTAATTTCTTATATAACTCTGAATTTTCTTTGCTCTTAATAATTTGAGGTATAACAGATTCGGGCTCTTCGTGAGAAATCTTTAGTCTCTCCAGGTGATCTCTCAATGAGCGATAGATTAGTAAACCTTCATCAGCCACTGATCCCACTATCAAAGGTATTTGATTACTCCACGCTGTGGGCAACATTGCCTCTGGTTTTTTGTCTATAATGCAGTCATCACTGCGATACGGTTCTATAGTGGGAGCGAAAGCTAACTCTTGTCCGAAATTATCCTCATTGAATAGATTATGTAATATTAGCTTTTCAGCATCCAAAGTTTTAAGAAATTCCAAAACTAAACGATCGTTATTTTCGTATTGATATCCGTAACAGTTTGCCAAACGATAAGCATAATCCTTAGCAGGCTTGCATGCCCAAACATTGAGTGCACTACCAGACATACAAATAGCTTTGTGGAAAAGATTTTCAGTTTGAGGTGTGAGCATAAGGTGATGAGTGCTAGCAGCTCCAGCACTGCTACCGAATACCGTAATATTTTCATTGTTACCATTGAAATATTTAATATATTGCTTAACCCATTTTAAGGCCAAAACTTGATCTTTTAAGCCGGCATTACCGGGAACTTGAAGTTCTCGATCTTTTAGGCTAAGAAAACCTGAAATTATTTTTTTAAAAATATCTGCCATTAACACAGGAATGCACTGTAAATACTTGCTATACTTTACCCAATGAATCCAAGCGATAATTGAATGTTACAACCACCACATTGGCACGCATTAAATAGTCTGGACTGTAGAGGTAGCGAGTACCTTCGCCCTTATAAAACCCACCACCATATATATAAAACATAACCGGCAAAGATTCTGAAGAGTGAAGCTAAGAGTAAAAATATTGAGAGAAATAAACGATAAGAGAAATAAAAAAAGCTATTGCTTTCTGTCTCTCTCTCTCTCTCTCGCTCGCTCTTTCGATTTTATTCGTTGTTCTTTTCTCCATTGCTTACCTGTTTTGTGTAAACATTCAAATACAAACAATCCTCTGATCCTACTGCCAAACCAGTTTTGGGATCTTTTTGCATTGGCTTTACTTGAAAGTCAACGCAATCTCTTATACCCGACCATGGTTTTGCTGGTAGAGGTGCTTTAAAGCGTAATTCTCCTACGGGAGGTTGAGCATATGGAATACCTTCAAAACTAAAGTACTCGTCATTGTAAATTGTTTGCCGTTGAATTCCTCGTATTTGTCCAACCGGTAGGGTGATAACTGGATAAATACTGTAGGAACGAAATGCAGAGAGCTCTATACAATATATTGTGAATTATATATGAAAACTTACTTCGCAGACATTGTTGATAATAATTTCATAAGCACTGAGCGACTGTTAAGCAAATTGGCATAAATTCTTCTTTATATATATGACAATTAAATTAATTCAACAACTTTATAAGCTTATCTGTGAGAAATGAATACGTGATACCGGTGCACTATATCAAAAATGCGCAAATATTATTAATTGCTTTTGCTGTAATTCTTGGGCTTTCTTTAAATGTCTCGATTATGATTTTCTTTACTTAGCGTATTTGTGTTAACTGAAAGCTGATATTATTCGAAGTCAGTTTTCTGTTATATACAAAATTTGTCTGCAATTCTTGATTCCTCTGCTAGAACAGGGTGTGAGTAGAACAGGGTCAGTCAGTAGCGGATTGAAGACTACGTGTAGTGAAAGTATCAGCATTGTGATTCATTTCACTGAAAGCCAATATTCTTCCCCTTTTCCTAAAAAATTCTCCTTACATACAAAATCTCTCTGCGTTTCTTGGATTTACGTTCTGAATATGAAAGGGTCAGTGAGTAATGTGTTCAGGACTACGTGTAATAAAAGTATCAGTCGGTAATATATTGTGATTCATTTCTCTGATAGCTAACATTATTGAAAGTCAATCTCTGATATATGAAAGCATTAGTTAGTAGTTTGTTAGGAGCTATATGCAGCGAAAGAATCAGCTGGTAGTACTCTTCATTTACGTTTATTAAAGTATCAGTCTGTTATATACAAAATCTGCCTACGATTCTTATTCTCATGTTCTGAATATCAAAGGGTCAGTAACAGTTGTATTAGACAGGATTAGCCAGTAGTGTATTAGTGTTTAGTGTATTACAAGCTGCAAGTCATTTACGTGTATTAAAGTATCAGTCTGTTATATACAAAATCTGCCTACGATTCTTATGTCCATGTTCTGAATATCAAAGGGTCAGTAACAGTTGTGTTAGACAGGATTAGCCAGTAGTGTATTAGTGTTTAGTGTATTACAAGCTGCAAGAAATGGATAACGGTTCCTGAATTCCTTGCATATGGAATGCACTCGTTATTAAAAAAACAAAATTCAGAAAAAACCGGCTCAATTTCTTTTTCATATCTTTCTAATCTAGTACAGTCCTAAAAAAAAATAAAGCTTTCTCAAGTGTTTCGATTTCCGGATAATCCGCTCGACTAACTCGACTAACAATTCAATGTTCGTGTGTTCAAGCCTCAAGTATGGTAGTGCTTGATGACTTTAATCTTAGTATTGATTTGTCCGGCTTTAATAATGATTATAAGTCAGGTTAAACCGGGTTCTAACTAAATAAGTGAAGGGTTATCTAAACCAAGCACGAGTGTGAATAAGCTCTTCTTTTATTTACTTGAATTATTCATTATAAAGGCTCAACCAAAATTTTAACTTCTCTGTTTCGGGTAACTCTTCTAACATTTGCACTTCATCGCTTATATTAAGTGCCGCGAAGGGTTGCTTATCGTTCACGCAGGTCCATTCAGATGATTGAATTTCTTTGCAATTCGGATTGGAGGTACTAGCAAATGAAGTCCACATACCGATCATACGTCGTATAGTCAAATATTCGAGGCTATCTAGAGGCAGCTTCCACGCCCGTCGACAATAAAATAAATAAGAAACGTCATCGGCGTGCGCAGCACCTCTTACCTCGCGACCGCAATATTTTACACGATATAAATTAAAGTTAGGAGAATCGAAGTCAAAACGATACATGTAGGTAGGGGCACGCGTAGCATAACGTAAACGTTGAAATATGGTAAATTGGAACCCTATCCAATAACGAGTGTACGAGAGAATCTAGAAAAGGAATAAAAATCTAAAAAATTTGTTGCGTTGTATTGGTCCTCCACTCACCTCTAAATAATTGAAAACATTTTCAATATTCATATCTTTGTTATGAAAATACATTTTCAAGATTTGTCTTCCCAAACTTTGAGACTCTTCTAAGGTTTGTTTTAATCGGATATCTTGAGGAACGATTAGTTCAGGCTTCTCGTTTAATATCTCTATACGTTGCGGTCTTTTCTTAATGCTCGGCAACTTAAGTAGACCTTCAAACGATGTACCACCCAGAATCAGGGGGATTTCATTGGACCAGCTAGTGGTAAGCAATTTATCTAAGCTGCGTGTTATTAAAGCAGAAGGACTATCATAAGGTTCTACTATAGGGCCCCAAACAAAGGCAACATCATTAAATATTTCCTCTTCAGTTAGTACATCGACACTTGTTAGCTGATCAGATGGTATTTGTTGTAAATGTTTTAATATTAACGGATCCGAATATTCCCCGTCGTAGCCAGTAGCTTTAGCTAAACGATGAGCATAATTTCCTGGCGGTACGCAGGCCCATTTATTATTTATTGTACCCGACATTAGTATGGCTTTATGAAAGAGCCCTTTTGTTTTTTCGCTCATCATTAGCAAATGAGCGGCTGCCGAGCCGGCACTTTCACCAAACAAGGTTATATTATCAGGATCACCATTAAACTTAAGGCAATTTTCTTTAAACCATTTTATGGCCATTAATTGATCTTTTAAACCGGCATTACCAGGTATATCGAGAGAAGGATCCTCAAAACTAAGAAATCCTGGAAATTTTTAAACAAAAGAGAAGAGAAAACAAATCTCATATAAAAGGAAAAATGTATATACCTAAGGGCCCCAGCCTATAATTCATGGTAACTAATATCACATCTTCCATCATAAAATAATCTGGCCCCAAATTATTTGTGGTCGCATCGCCCAATTCGAAAGCTCCTCCATACAAATAAATCATAACCGGCAAAGGTTTTGAACTAATCAACTTGAAAGAAAAAAGAAAGCGAAAAATGTTATTTAAAAAAAAAAAAGGGAAACCAAACTTAATTATCTTACCTTCTTCGTATAGACATTCAAATACAAACAATCCTCAGAACCTTCAACAATCTTTTTGAAGTAATTTTGTTGCATTGGTCTAACATCTAATTGAAAGCATTCTCGCACTTCCACCCAAGGGGTTACAGGCTCCGGTGCTTTGAAGCGTAAATTATTTATAGGAGGCTGAGCATACGGTATCTTCTCAAAGCTATAGTAATTGTCATTATAAACTGAACATTTCAAGAGCCCTTTGACACAACCATGTGTGGTTGTTATGATCGGATGACAGCTGTGAAAAAATTTTTTAATCAATTTTCTAATACATTAGCTGATAATATTTTATACAAACTCGGTCATATTTGTTAAAAAATTGTAGTTCTTATTGTTGTTCAATAGCACCAGCGCCAAAGCATTTTTATTTATTTTATTTTATTCAAAGTTTTTTTGGTCTTTTTTTTTTTCTCTACAAGAAAGAAGGAAAGTAAAAAATGAAGACGAACCTCTTTACTCAATGATTACTATAAAACGTTTTTTATCAAATAATAAACAAAACATTATCAAGGTATTTTGTATAAGATCTTATTTGAAGAGATGAACTTTTCAAATTTGCTCCCATAAGAGAAGCAATAAATGTGTTTATAGAGCTTTTAAGAAATTTCTTTGAGCGTAAGGTATTTCCATAAATGTCTCTGAGTATAAAATAATAGCCTAAGGAGAGAAACCTAAGCAACAGAAAAAGTTATTTCTTTTCATCCAAACATAGCCACATTAATCAATGAATTCTCCCACAGAACAACACAGACGTTTCATTGAAAGAATTAAGCTTAAGAGTATTTTACTTGTGCTCGCTATGTAACTGAAGTTAATTAATTACGATCGTCAAGACAATGTTTAAGTGCAAGTCTACAAAGCGGCAGGCCGTCTAGGTCGTAAATAATGCTAACAGTGCGTTTTTAACATTGAAAATAACGAATGAGCTAATTTTACCTTTCCCGATTTAAAAGTCCTGGTAATGCATGTAAAGTTGCAAACTATTTTGATGAACTTTTTTTATATGGGAGCAGCTTTTAAAAAAAAGGTAAGGATATTATAGGGACAAAGCCGACTTTTAGGTACCCTACACCATTTCGGCTTACATAGTCTTTCATTCATATTCTTAATAATGCAGCTAAGGTACATAGATATGATAGGAAAGTGAGTCGGACAGAGGGTCAAAGGAGCTTTAATAGATTCTGAAAATGTTTCTGAATAGATCAGTATAACAAAAATATCCCAAAATGTCGGTTGAATGGAACAATATTCGTAGGACAGACAGCCTTAATAAGGAAAATGGTTGAAAAAATGGTCCTATTCGAACCATGTTTAATAGTTTAGTTTGTGCTCGAGTCAACATACACAAAACAGTGTGCCGAGTTTCACGAAAATATCTCGGAAATTATTGCCTGTAAATTGAAGACAAGAAAACAAGAAGGCCAGAGGGACTGAAAATGATGCTGACAAGCTGATTCCTTTCCAAGTCCTCCCGAATAATGCATTCGTCCGCATAAAGTTAACATACCCTTCTGCCCTTCTGTAATTTATTTTAGACTACTCCGCGTTACTAAAATGCTTTCATTTTTCTTCATTTTCATATTTATTGTCTCAATTCATCACAGTGTTTGGTTCATATGCACATATGTGTTATGTATAAAAAAAAAAAAAAAAAAAAAAAAATTAAATTTAAATTCCATTTCCTCTAAGTTTAGTAAACTATTTTACATATTGGTAGAGACTTTCCCATGTCTGGAGTTTTGCCATCTCAGGCAAATCAATCAATTCCAGTTGATTATCAATATTCAAACATTTTATCGTAACGGTAGCATTGCTTTCATTAAAGCCAGTTACAACTGGTAACCATGATTGCGTTATCTTATCGCTATTTTCTACGCTATCTGTAGCATAGGAAAAAGGACGTGAGCATTGAGCAAAACTCGTCCAAATGTCAATCATGCGTTTAATGGTTTTGTATTCTGGTGTTTCGGTAGATAATTTCCATGAGAAATTACCGAAGAATAAATACGAATGATCATCGACATGGGCCACACCGCGTAACTGTTTGCCGCAATATTTGATACGTTGATGATTGAAATGCGGTGAATCGAAATCGAAACGATACAAATAACTGTCAGCAGCAGTAGCACAAGTATCAGCAGAAGTTTTTTTTGATTTACATTTAAGGCGAGCATGCAGAGTACGCAAAATTGGATGCCAAATAACTTTATATGACGCATACTACGAGTATATAAACATTAATTGAAAATAGTTACAAATTCAATTCAATTCAATTCAATAGGTTTCTACTAACCTCGCAATAATTTAAAATGCTTTCCAAGCTGAATGGCTTATCACCAAAATGTAATTCTTGAATTCTTTTCGCGAATACCTTTTGCATATCCATTGAATAATTTTGTTTTAAAGCGAGAGGCAGTAAATGCTGCGAATTATTTTCTAATTCAGTAATGAGAAATGGTGCCATATAAACGCGACCATACATCATAAGCCCTTCGAACGATGTACCACTTATTAGTATTGGGATTTCATTACCCCATGATTCTGATAATAATTCTTCGGGATCTTTATCGATTATGCAAGTTTCTGTATGATATGTCTCTATACTCGGACCATATGTAAACAAAAAATCATTCATATTTTCTTCTTTAGTATTTAAATAGGGCTTGAGAAGATTTTCACCAGATTGCTGCTGTAAAAATTCGAATATATTTTTCTCATCCGTAACCGGGCCTTGATAACCTAATGCCTGAGCTAAACGTAAAGGAATATTTTTGAGGGGAGAATAAGCCCAGGAACATAGTATAGTGCCTGACATAAGTATGGCTTTGTGGAAGAGACCACGAGCCAATGGGCAACACATTAGATAATGAGCTGAAGCCGCACCAGCGCTTTCACCAGCTAAAGTAATATTCTCACTATCGCCGTTAAAATGATGAACGTTCGCTTTAATCCATTGCAAAGCTAACAGTTGATCCTTCAAGCCCGTATTACCTGGTATACCCAAAGCGGGATCTTTAAAGCTTAGAAAGCCTGCAAAAGCAAACATTTTGGGAAGATTTAAGGAAATCATGTAAATCAAAATTGAAAATGTATTTACCAAAAGGACCCAAACGATAACTGAGAGTAATGAGGATAACCGGCTTCATCATAAAATAATCGGGGCCATGTAGGTCTCTGGTGGGATCACCACGTTCAAAACCCCCACCAAATAGAAACACAATAACCGGTAAGGGTTTATATGTTTTTAGCTGAAGATCAGAAAGTAAAAGCATTATGGTAGCATTCATAAATGACTTTATATGGGGAGTAGTCGAAAAATCGGTACCTTTCGAATTATTTACAATAGCTTTCTTCCGTAAGCCGAACATGTCTAAGTCATCAAAATATCTCAAAAATTACGATCTTCTGGTTGAACAGAATAATGCAAGACGGACTTACGGACAGACAAGCTTGTGAAAATTTGACATAGACTCATCTCGCACCGATCATCGCACCGATAGATTCAGAATTACGTTTTGAATCGAACTAACTGAGAGAAACCCAACTTTTATTACACCGATTGTTTCAGAATCACTTTCCGAGTCGAAGGACTTGAATATGATATTTTATACATCCAAACTACTACTACTGCTGTAAGCTTGTGGTGTAGGGTAAAAAAATTTCATATTAATAACGTTACGCATCTTCTTCTTCTTTAACTTTTTAAAGTTTTCCCAACATACCTCCTTGCAATACACGTTTAAATACAAACAATCTTCATTTCCCTCTATTTGTTGATTCAATAAATTTTTTTGCATTGGTTTCGGTGGCTTTTCAGTGCAATCGAGTATTTCGGTCCATGGTTTTTTTGCAACAGGAGGACGGAAACGTAACGAGCCAAGAGGTTTTTCAGCAAACGGTATTTTTTCAAAGCTATAATAGACATCATCGTATACACCAGTGCATTGTTGCCCTTTAATTGGTCCTAATGTAGTGTTGATCACAAGTAATCTTTAATATTAAATTATAATAACAATAGAAATTCTCTTATCAAAATGAATTAAAAATTCTAGAAACTTACTCTTCGGTCATTTAGCTTTGTTAAATTACTTTTGGTCTTTTTTTGGTTTTTTTTTATTCACTTATTATGAACGATACAAAATAAATCGAATTAATAAATTGAAGGGCAATGGATCTAAAAAAGATAAATTGCCGCCAACTTATATGTATTTTTACTACTACTACACTTCACGCTTGATATCTTACTAATGAAAGAAAAAACGAATTTATTTATAAAAGAAACTATTTTTTATTCTTTGTTTATTAATCTCTTTACTCTCTTTCTCATACTATTTCTCTTTCAAATGTGATCAAAAAATAACGCAATTTTTAGATTGCTTTGCTTTTTACGTTACCTTCGCTGTTATGTTATCGCTGGACATACCACAATTGCATGAATAATGTAAAAGAGAAAGCTTTTCATAACATTTTGTTAAGCTTTCTGTTATATCATATTTTACTTTACTTGCGATAGGAAGTATATTTAGTTTGTGTGCGCGACTAAATGTCCCAACTATCCATCCATCTTTATACCCATCACTGAAGAATGAGGGAATGGTTACATTTTGTCAATCGGTTCGTAGCGCCCAGAAGGGATCTTCAGACATCACCACGCGTATTTATTCTTGATCAGCATAAAATTACGCATCAATTTAAGTACGTCCATCTGCCCATCTGTTTAATGTCTGTTGCATTTTCCTGCCCACAAAAATAAAGCTAACGACTTTGAATTTAGCAGAAACAGTTATCACAGGTTGGTATTGAAAGCAGATCAAATCGGTCACATAACATTGCTATAGTAACACGTAAACAGGCGACACCTCTGCTCTTCAAAATAATTTAAAAAATTGCTTTCTCGCTCCTTACTCATAAATTATAGCAAACAAATCTACAAACATGTGAACGCATATTGTATGGCGATGCTGGAGTGCCTTCGCAAAAATGGCAAAAACTGAACACTCCTACCCAATATTATAGTGTATCAAAATTAAATTTTTTTTTCAGCACCTTCATGAAGCACATAAGCAAATTCCAAAAATCCCAAAAAGTATATGAATTCTTGGCCAGTTTCAATTTTGAAATGCACTTGGGCATGTCTGTCTGTCTGTCTACACCTCTCGGTGTACAAAGGGCTTGAGAGAGATCAACCTTTCATTATACCCGTCTATTCAGAATACCGGTATAAACGAATCGGCTATCTTTCTTTCTTTTGTCATAATTCGCCTCTTTCTCGGTTGTATGCCTACATACGTATGCTGTAATAGCTGGTTTCATATATGGATGGATTTATATCCTCTTTTCATTCTTATTGAATATTTAGCGAGTCAACAACAGATGTTCCGCCGCATTTTTAAAAAAAAGGACAGTGTGGACATAAAAAAAAATTGTATCCGTTGTCAGTAGCCTTTATTTCTTTCCTTTTGGGTCATACAAAAATAGATATCGTAACTACAATAGTGGCGCTGGTTATTAATTATTTGAAAATGTAGTTTGTTATTAGCAATTTAATACCTGCTTAAACATAAATTTTTTATTTTATATGTAAACCGTAGTTTCGGACAGCCATTATTATATTATATTAATCCCACTTTTTCGTAAAATTTGTCCCATAATGTCAGATGATTATAATCGGGTGATTCTATAAATTCCAGTTCTTCTCCAATATTTAAACACTTGTAAGGTTCTGGATGTTTTCGTAATGGTTCCCATTTAGTTGGTTGTAGTTGCAGGCAATTAGGATCCGAATTTAAGGCAAAATTGTACCACATGCTTACCAATCGCTGCATGGTTTTGTATTCATTGCTGGTGCAATCCAAAGCACTGGCCAACGCATTATAAAAGAGATAGGAATACTCGTCACCATGACAAACTCCTCGTACTTTGGAACCACATTTCGCAATACGAATTTGATTGAAAAATTCAGAATCGAAATCGAAACGATAACAATAGGTGGCGGCAACTGGAGCATATTTGCGACGTGCTAATATGACGCGATGCACTCCATGCCAGAAATTGCGGTGCGACATCAGGTACAAATATTCATATAAGTTTTGTTCCACAGACAATATTTTAGTTTTGAAATAGGTTCTCTTAAGCTCTAAAGACATCTTCTGTATTTCTTGTGGACTTTGCGATATTGTCGTTTCTGGCATTAACAATGACGAGCAATCGTCCAATTCTTCGATTAAGAAAGGATGCAAATGAACAAGAGTTTTGTAAAAAAGTCCTTCATAAGAGGCACCGCCAATCATTATAGGTATATGATTACTCCAAGCTTTCTTTAGACAATCTTTGTAGGGTCTACTAATGATGCATTGGGGAGTTTCATAAGGTTCCACCACAGGAACAAATATAGTCACCATATACATTAAAAGTTCGGATTTATTCAAAAGATATGCCTCCGGATCTGCCAAACATTTCGGTTCTAGTTTACTTAGAAATCGATAGATTTCTTGGTCACTGTTATTACCGTGGTAGCCAAGAGAGCAGGCCAAACGATAATTCCTATCAGCCAAAGTTGTGCTAACCCAAGGGTTTAAAGTGCAACCAGATTGCAAAATAGCCTTGTGGAATAGGCCATGTCCCTGCTCGCTTAACATGAGGAAGTGTACTGAAGCTGCTCCAGCACTTATTCCAAACAACGTTATATTATTCGGATCGCCACTAAAATTATATATGTTATCCTTGACCCAACGTAAAGCCATGACTTGATCTTTAAGACCAGCATTGCCAGGTACATTTAATTCAGGATCATTAAAGCTTAGGAAACCTTTTAAAGGATTAAAATTTATTAAAACGATGTGGAAATTAAATTTAATTCATGTATACTTGCCAAAAACTCCAAGGCGATAGTTGAAGGTAACCAATACCACGTCCTTAAACATGAAGTAATCCGGCGCATTCACGTCTCGTGTAGCTTCTCCTACTTGAAAGCCACCACCGTTAATCCATACCATTACCGGCAACGGTGTTTCGCTATTCAGCTGCAAATTTAGTGGCCTTCATTATTAACTGCATTTTTCAATTCACTTGCTAAGTTATATTAACCTTCTTCGTATATACGTTAAGATATAGACAATCCTCTGAGCCTTCAATAAATTTGAATGTCAAATGCCTTTGTATCGGTTTACTGCGGCAGCTGGTGCAGTCCAGAACATGTTTCCACGGTTCGGGTGGTTCAGGTGCACGGAATCGCAATTTTCCTATGGGCGGCTTAGCGTACGGTATACCTTCGAAAGCATAATAAAACTTATCGTATACTGTGACACGCTTCACCCCTTTCACTTGGCCATAAAGCGTGTTAATTATTTCGTATTCCCTAGTGGTCAAATAATATTGTTGCAATTTATGAGCGATAAGTCTGCGAGAGAAAGAGAGAAGAAAATTTGCAGTCACTTGTTAAGTACAAAAAGCAACAGTCAATCTACTTCTTCTTCTCCTTCTCCTTCTTATTCTGTTATTCAACGAAATAACAACCGAAAATTCACTGGGATTTATCAAAAAGGCCCAATGTGAACGCAGAAATTTTGTAAATATCTTCCAATTCACATCATTCAAGCAGTAGTTGTACCAACGGTCTGATCCGTTTCGTCTTAGAAATACAATTTATCCTTGGGTCACAACAGTACAATGTAATAAATTTCAACAAAATAGCTTAAAAGTTTAGACCTATAAGTTGGGCATGAGAAGACCTAGACTGTTATTGGGTAGACGGAGGGACAGGCAAGGTCAAATGGATTTAGAAAATCAATCCAAGTCGATAAATACAATAAAAGATGCATCCAACTTAAGTTTTTCAAGTTATTATCCCTGCGTCTGAACGTGCTTCGTACTATATGTGATGTAGAGTATAATAATGAGGTATTAGTAGGTATGCCGGCATAAGAAACGATTAATAAGTCAACTTATATTTCTGCTGATTATGACATTTTCGCGCTTGCAGCCGCTAATCCAAACCTTGTGGATTACGCACGAACCGATTGAATACCTTCAACAACTTTGAACACATTCTCCTTATAGATGTAGCCATTCGAACTGCAATAGTATTTATTCGACGAATAAGTAGTTAAGTCGATTAAGACCTTTCTATCGTCCATTAGAACTATCATAAGAACTGTAAATGTATATTAAGCTTTGGAAAAACACGTGATCCACTCAGAAGTAAGATACTTTCTTTATTTAGCATTTACCTCGTATAAAGTAAAAAAGGAGGGAGGGATAGTTAAGCCCCGAGCAGATCAATAAGGGGACTCTGATAATATATGTATTACTTTACAATGCAATATACTGCCGTATACTACATTTCGAACCACCGAGCGCTCATTTTGTCAAAATGTTTACAACGAACAAGCAAATAAATCACTAACAAAACTCTGATAAATTGCCTCTGGATTTTTACCGCAATGAATAATATATTTAGTGCAGTATATTGCAGTATGGTCTGCCATAGAGTTTCTAACATCCGAAAACCTTGGTCCACGCGTTTGCAACCCGCAAAAAGCAACTTCAAATGTTTCATAAAGTGAGTACATATTCTTGATTAGAATCGAGTTCTGAATCAAATCAAGCATGACTGTCCGACGTCTTCGGAGACATGCCACGTTTTTTACCCACTGTTCACAATATAATAATATGTTTATTCATTTGAAAAATAAAGGCGGTAAGTCTAGAAGATTCGGCGTCAACTGCATATAATTTTCTTAAGTGTTTTATGTGACCATTGCTTCTCTTATGTTAATCATATTATTCTACAAAAACAAGCACTTTATGTTTTTAGTAAGTGACAGTTCAATAGTCGTCGAAGTTTCAATCAAGCTTCTTATGTATCATACGATATGTAAATATCAACGTGTTAAGGTGCTCGATCCAAATCGATTTTTTTTTTTTTTTGTTCTCTTTTTCGATTGTTACTCACTTGATACCCAATTTAATTAAATCAAATGTACCGAAGGCTAACTCCATTATTAGTAGATATTTTTCAATTCTTCTTCACTTTTGTTTTACGGTTAGCGTGTGAAATGCTTGATCACCGTTTAGTAAAATTAAAAAGAGAAAATCTAAATTGCATTCAGGCCACTAAGTAATTTTGTTTCGATTGTCAGTATGTCCGGCCTTCTTATCAGTGATTAATGTATGAATACCTTGTACATGTAGCGTAATATACAGATTGCATTCATATTATCGGACAATTTACAAATGAAACCAAGAGATAATAAATTAAATGCTCTTCAAAAATCGCAAGAGTATGATGAACCTGATAGGCAGATAGATTTTGACGGTCAACTATTGTCACTGGAGACATAATTCTATTGAAAGGCTTTGGCAATTTAATGAAATTTTTGGTTGATTCCTTTTCTACGCAGGTTAAAAGAGCACAGCAATCTAAGGCTTATACATGTACTTTCACGAGGTTTTTCGACTTCAGGAAAAGGCTAGAAACCAACTTCGTACAAGTAAATTTTAAATTATATTCTGTAAGAATTTTAGTGAGCCAACATTTTTATCAATAATATGAATATTTGAAGAATCCGTTTATTGTCTTTAGAATCTAATCTTAGAATGTAATCTAACTGCTAGGATTTGGTTTGCGTGTACCTGCTCGTGCAAGCATTCTGGTGCTTTTTGGTTTTGAACACATGCTGTAATCCGATCCCGTAAATTTTTACGCTCCACCAAGCAATTTCGATAGCTTTAATCTGATTGATAACAATTGCAGCAACCACTGTCTCTCTCCCGCTCTCTCTCTCTCTCTCTCTCTCTCTTTAAATAAAACTTTAGATATACCTCCCGCCTATTGCTTTTCTCTTTGGTTTTTTTTTTTTTTGTAACAAATATTTAAGAAACACGACAATTACTAAGTGCGGTTGTGTCGATGGACACCTCTTCGTGTGTAAGTATATATACAAATTCTGCTCTTGAAAAACGAAAACTGTAGCTCTTCGAGCAGTTCGTTTCTTTCTAAGATTTTATAAGCCAATAAAAGAATTCCTACAGGAATGGTCGACCCGAAGGAGAAGCCACTAATCCGAAAGCAAATAAGTGTTTTGTTGAGTTTGAGATTCAGAGTTGAGCAGCCGAATTGGGAGACTTTATTTGAAAAACGTCATATGACAAAGCTATAGTCGTTACTGCACACTGCACCCTCGTATATATATATATATATATATATATATATATTATATCAAAGGATTTTCGCTATCCGCTACAAATTTAATGGGTTAATTATAACTTAGTGCAGTCAAGGTTTTGCTTCCAATATGCGGGAGGCCAAGATGCATGTAATCACAATTCTCTGATTGGGGATCTTGCATATGGTATATCGTTGAAAAAGTAATAAGTCTGTCTTACGCTTTACACCTTTCACTCGGCCACAAAGCGTACTAACTATTTCATGTTCATTACCAGCCAGATAATTTTGTTGAAATCTATGATAATTAAATCTGACAGAGAGAAGAGAGACTGATCATCAATTCAAAAATTATTTTATAAATTTGTTCTTTTCTTGAATCATTTTGGTGATGAAATTAAACAATTAAGAAGGTTATAATCGGCGGGGTCCGAATCTCGCATACCCACCATTATGCTTTTCGCATTCTACCCGGCAAGTTCTTTTATTTGATACCCATATCGGTGGTATGATTAAGAAAAAAGTAATCATGGTGTCTACCATATCGTCTTAGAATTGACCCATTTCTAGGCGGATAATATAGCTTCATTTGGGGAATGTACAAAATAGTTATATACATTTTGTCTTGATTATCTTACGGCCAGAACGCACAAAACCTCAAAAAAGTGAACAAAATAAAATTTAAACAACTGTAACTTTATGTGGGCATGGCCAATTTTTTCCATGCAAAGACTTTGGTAAACTAAATGTGAAAAATGTCGGCTTTTTAATTTTTATAATTTTTTAATAACGCGCAAGAACCCACAAATTTTTGTTAAGCAAAACGGAGTTGCTTTCAGTTTTTACTCCACTGCGGGTTTCTATTTTGAACAAGTTGCCTCATTTCCAATATTAACTTGTGCGCAAAGACTTCCAACGTTTCTACTAAATTTGAAGTCGATATCTTTATTTATGCGACCTCGAGAGTGCTAACAACAAACATCACACAAATGGACAGATACGACTAAATAAATTCAGAATGCCACGCCGATCAAGACTATATATACTTTAGAGGTTCACTGAAGCTTCCTTTTGGGTTTTATATACATTATGGAAAAAAACAAAATGAGTGTACCGCCATCTTACAGTGATGGGTATAAAAACATTTTCATATCATATATATGTTAATTCATCTTACTTACAATCGGTTGAATAAAGTTTTCGTAATCTAATATTCGCTGATTTTGTATCGAAAACTTTTCAAAGCTAAAGAAAATATATTTAATTGAAAGTATGTGAGAGCATTACCACATAAGCGCAAGCATCCTGCCTGCACCTTAGTATGAAACAACTCTATATAAAGAATCGTTATGTCTCCGTACAAAATGATCTCACGCCATAAAAATTTTAAAGCAAGCTAGTTGGGGAAATAATGGATATTATATAGCATAGCGGAAGTAGCAGTAATCACGTGACAAGGAGAACCAGTAACGTAAAACAAAAATTATTGTGGAAATAAACTTAAGGAGCAAATCTTTAATTTTCAAATATTTGTGAGTAGATCCAAATGTGGCTTGACCTCATGTGTTGTCCTGGTCATGTACGAAGGCCTGCGGCAGCAATAGTTGAGCAAGATAAGATATCCGTTCGTGAAACAGTTTCAACTGGCGATTGGTGCCGCCCCGCACAAACCTCCCGGTAGTGTGTATTAGTAATGGCTTCCGGATTAGAAGGGTCTGCTCTTACTCGGAGAATAAATAAAGAGGCTAAATAAATAGGAAAATCACACGCTTCTAAAGAAATGTGACCGCACTTTATGACAATCTCGTTGGGAAAGCAGTGAAAATGGCAGAGTAACGTTTAAGTTTATCCGTGATGTCGCGCTAAAGGAAGATGATGCCTTAGTCTCAATGCAAATTTTCTACTCATGAGCAAAGGATTTCTTAATGCATTTTTTTCATGAAAAAGTCGTTTCAAAAACTATGACTTGCCGGGGTGGCAATCCGAGAATCAAAATATACGCTGTGGAGATTTCCTCTTTTACTCTGGAGAGTGAGGCTATGGGAATGCAACAACTCTTGAGACCTTGGCTGCATTGAGAGCATTTGCGTTTCGTGTTTTTCTCAGTCGGCTTGTCACAAGATGAGGTCTGAAGAAATTTGCTCGACCCTTGACCAATCTGTTCATGTTGAATATTAAGAGGCATTGACCATCGACTTTTCAGCATGGTAGTGTGGGAATCCGTTTGTAAGTTTCTCAGTATTGCTGACGTTGTTTGAATTTGGTTTGAGCTTTGGTTACAGATTTATATGCGGTGTCCTTTTTTTATTAAGGAAAACTGGAAGGAATAGGACCCGCTATATCCAGTAAAAGTACTATACGCAGGTGCACAGTATAGACTGTTTCTATTTTCTGTATCTTCACAAGCAGATTCTATTACACACTGAGTTTTAGGTTATGCGGGATCTAAAATAAATTCTGTTCAGTAACTTTTAATATTCTTTCTTCCCCCTTGTTGCTGGTACCACAGGTTTGTGAATGTTGCAAAGTAACCTTTCGCATTCGGGCTGGCGGCAGGAAGTTGGGTGATGACTTTGCTTAGTGCAAATCGCAGGAAGAGCTCTTGCTCAATGTAGACTTGCTCTACAAATGGTTGTTTAACCCAAAGAAAAGCAGAGATCTTACATACACTTCGCTCATCAAAGAATGGGATATGTATATATATAGATACCCATGTGGCACCAGCATAGTAACCGCGTGCTTAGTACATATTCCCAAACTCGGGTATTATCGAGCACTATGGATCTAACCCTTTAAGGTAGTGTACTCACGTAAAACACCTAGAGACATTTGCCAAATCTATAACAATGAATGTGCCACGAGGATACCGTGAAAACCAAACGACTTCTTAAATGTTTCGTAAAAATGTATGGAGAAGTCCTTGGCAGAATAGCTGCGAAATAATTTTGCTACGTAACATATAAATGTTCTCAGTCGACAAGACGGCGCATATATAAGTGCCTCTGTGTGTGTGTATTTGGGTATGCATATGGTGATCTTTACGGTGTAGTAGATAGAATGAGTGAAGGCAATTGAACGATAAGAGTGTTGGGAGCAAATGTGTGATTTTTTCATTTCTGTAGACTCTTTTTATTTTTTATTTTTTTTGGATTATTTTGCTCTTAATGAAAACTTTGTTTGTTTGTTTACCTTTTATTGTTAAATTCCCGTTCTCACTCTCATTCCTATTCATATAGCTGACTCACATACACTTATTTATTGTCAATTAGTTGCTCTCAATTAAGCGTTGCGCGATTGTCAGATGCTTGTACAAACAATGCATGATCGCATCTATAAGTACATTGCGGTGTTGATGTAGGTGGACGAAGACATTAAAAGATTTTTAAAGACTAAATTCGTCGCTTGAATTATTGTCAATTTATCGTAGGTATTATAGGGTGATAAACAAGTTATTTTTAAACTCTTGATAAGTTACTTATGCAGTTTTAAAATTCAGGGATTCGACGATAGCCTCCAGAAGTCGCGGGCTAACCGTACGTATAGGCCATTCTTCTTTTGATTGCGTAGCGGTCTCGGTACATTCTTTTTTGAAGTAAGTATGTATTTTCCAGTCCGTTAGTCACTCCCACCAGATCATTACTGAGGTATGCGTACAATCATGACTATCTTTTATTCAACTTCTTCAAAGCGGGCACCTCAATCTTGTTTATCTATAAGAATTTTCTTCACTGTTGTTGTCACTATCGTTACTTTGGATTGAAACTTTTGCTTTTGAAGATTACGTAATGGTTACCCCGCAATGCACTTAGTTGATGCGTATTTGGTTTTGCGACGATTTTTCTGCGTTTGAAAACGCCCGAGCTTGGGATTATTAATAGCAGAACACAATGATTAACGGATAGGCTAAGATGGCAACGCTTTCGGAAAGACTCTTAAGTTTTTTCTTTAACAAAGTATTTGTGAAAGTTTTTTCGCCCGTACTATTGTTCTGTTATTGGGCGTTACTAGCTAGCGTCAAGTCGCGTAATTATACCAGCAACATTATGTGATCTTTTCCTAGCAATTCAACGCAATTTTAATGAATGTTTTTATTTTTAATAAAATGTATAACAATTATCGGACAGAATTACTCTCAAATCAATGACTTTATGCTAGTTACCCAAAAAATAATAGCAATCGTCTTAACATTTCTTCATATATCTGATCGTTTATTGTCCTTTTTGTTAGGATTTGTGATTTTTCACTCGAAATTTGTAGTCCTTTTTCGGAAAAATTTCTTTGCGTTATGGTAGATAACCTTTTGTCCGAATATATGATTCACACTTTCGTAGTTGCAATTAAATTGATTTCATGTAAACTCTTTTTTCCTTTAAAAGTAACATCCACCACCAGCTTCTTCCCCTTATTTCTTAAGGATTTCTTATGAAATGTAAACCATATATTCGGACAGTTATACTAATATTGCTTAGTATTTTATATTAGGCCCACTTTTTCATAAAATGAATCCCATAATTTTAGTTGATTAAGCTCGGGTAACTCTGTAAATTCCAGTTTTTCACCAATATTCAAACATTTGTAAGCCTCTGGACCCTTCTGCACTGGTTGCCATTCAATTGGTTGTATTTCCGGGCAGTTAGGATCTGAATTTAAGGCAAAATTGTACAGCATGCCTACCATTCTTTTTATAGTTTTATATTCATTGGTATTAATGTCTAACGTAGTCGCCATCACGTCATAGAAGAGATAGGAAAGGTCATCGGCGTGACAAACTCCTCGTACTCCGGAACCGCATTTCAATAAACGAAATTGATTAAAATATTCCGAATCAAAATCGAAACGATAACAATATGTGTTGGTAAATGGAGCATATTTGCGACGTGCTAATATGACTCGATGTATACCATGCCAGAAACTTCGGTGCGACATCAAGTGTAAATATTCATGTAAGTTTTGTTCAACGGATAATTTTGTATTTTTGAAATAGGTATTCTTAAGTTCTAGAGCCATTTTTTGTATCGCTTGTGGATCTTCTGATATTTTTGTTTCTGGCATTAACAATGACGAGCAATCATCCAATTCTTCAATTAGGAAGGGATGTAAACCAACGATATTTTTGTAGAAAAGGCCTTCATAAGATGTAGCGCCAATTATCATTGGTATATGATTACTCCAAGCTTCCTGCATACATGCTTTGTAGGGCTTACTAATAATGCACTGAGCAGTTTCATAAGGTTCCACCACAGGAACAAATAAGGTCATTATATTATTGAAACGCTCTGATTTGTTTAAAAGACGAGCCTCCGGATCTGCTAAACGTTTCCCTTCTATTTTGCTTAGAAATCGATAAATATCCCGGTCGTTGTTATTACCCTGGTAGCCAAGAGAGCAGGCCAAACGATGATTCCTATCAGCTAATGTTGTGTTAACCCAAGGATTTAAAGCACAACCGGACTGTAAAATGGCTTTGTGGAAGAGGCCACGTCCCTGCTCGCTTAACATGAGGAAGTGTGCAGAGGCTCCTCCTGCACTTAATCCGAACAGCGTTATATTGTCGGGATCACCATTAAAATGATGTATGTTATCCTTGACCCAACGTAAAGCCATAACTTGATCTTTAAGACCAGCATTACCAGGTATATCTAATTCAGGATCATTAAAACTTAAGAATCCTTTAAGGGGATTATTAAACATTAATTAAAACGCTTTGTAAATTAAATGTAATTCAGGTATACTTGCCAAAAATTCCAAGACGATAGTTTAAGGTAACAAACACAACGTCCTTAAACATGAAGTAATCCGGAGCATAGACGTCACGTGTCGCTTCTCCTATTTGAAAACCACCACCGTAGATCCAAACCATAACCGGCAATGGCGTTTGGCTATTTAGCTACAAATTTAACGAATTTATCTATTAAGTAATTTTTTCATGCAAAATGCTAAATTCTATTGACCTTCTTGGTATATACATTAAGATATAGACAATCTTCTGAACCCTCAATGTATTTTATTGCCATATGCTTTTGCATAGGTTTATTGCGACAATTAGTGCAGTCGAGGACATTCTTCCACGATTCGGGCGGTTGTGGTGCACGGAATCGCAATTCTCCTATGGGCGGCTTAGCGTACGGTATACCTTCAAAAGCATAATAAAACTTATCGTATACTGTAACACGCTTCACCCCTTTCACACGGCCATAAAGCGTATTAATTATTTCATATTCATTAGTAGTCAGATAATATTGTTGCAATCTGTGAGAAATAAATCTGGAAAAGAGAGAATGAAAATCAATTAAAAAATTATTTGATTCATTTGCTCTTTCATTCTATGACTTCAATAATAGAATTAAAATCAAGTTAGTTAGAAAAGTTAAAGCCGGGCAAACGCGCCCATTACTTATCCTACATCACTTTGCCTAGTATAGTTATTCGCTCGTTTTGGTAATAATGCTCCAAAAACTACTCATTATTTCCGTGTAAAGCCACAATTTTTATAAAAGCCTGCATATTGGAAGGTTAGATTGTCACTCTATATAAGAGCTGGCTTTTTGTGATAGCGCCTTTATTTGTTAAGGCCCAAAGAACTTACGTAAGTGATCCAAATTCACTACCATTCATTTTTTTGCTCAATCGCTACTATGAACTAATCATCAAATCATAATCATTCATCATAAAATATTAAAAATTAAATCTTTTCGCGAAGGGCTTACCATTCATGGAGTAGGGTCAAGATATAAACTCACATGGATCAAATTAAATTCGTTTAATGTTTTTATTTAATTACTATCATGAATAAAGTTTCATAGAAAAAAATTAACAATTAGGCCTTTTTGGCGCATAACTGATTATTTTCTATAGTCGGTGGTATTCAAAAAATAGACTTGTATGGTCAAAATTCTTTGTCAATTTACCAATATGAGCCAATTTTCACAATGAAATATTAAAAATTGGACTTCTTTGCCATATAACAAGTCAGTTTTCTTAGGATCGGGTGTATGGAAGGGTGTTCAAAAAATTGCCCTGCCGCTTCAATGTTTTCACACTAATGTAGAATGTTGAAATACCCTAAGATAGCCAATTCTGTCGAGAAATTTTGAAAACTGAAAATTTTTTCCTTATACCGACTTCGACGAGTAGGGCGTTCTTTGAGGAGTGATCGAAAAAGTGGGCCGATCCGAACCATTTTCAAAAACGTTCGCCCTTCAGCCTACTAAATTTCATCAAAATATCTCAAAAATTGTGACCTGTAGCTTGAACACAAATTTGCAAGGGCAGCCTACACACGGACAGACAGGCTTAGTTCGATTCTAGATCATTTTTTGAATCGATCGGTATAATAAAAGGTGGGACCTTCTTAAGTCCTCGTACATGTTACCAACGTTCGCAATAAATTAATATACCGTGTACGCCAAGCGGCGTAGGGTATAAAACAAGTTTTCATTTTATTTTTTTATATACTATACTATTTATTTATCTGGATATCCTTGTTTATAATTGCTTATATAGAATGAATATTCCGTGAACTAATACTTGCCCGCTTTTTTAATAAATACCTTTCAAAGCTAGAGAAAATATATTCAATAGAAAATTCATTACAGCACTTTAATCTTGACATGCTAAGTAAGCGGAAGCATTTTAAGTTCTTCCTAAAATACGAGACAGTGGCTTGCAAACAATCTTCACTGGATTTATTTTAGTTGATTCTCGAGTTTGACTGAACTAAAAAGCAAAAAAGCAAAGTAAAGACTATAAATTTAAGGTTATGTTTGTTTTTATATCGAAACATCGACACAAAGATGAATAACCGCACGTTTATGTTTCATATACGCACTATATTGGTGAAGATTTCCGATAGATAGTGAAATCTTCTATCCCTGTCATAAGTTTGGAGCGTTTGGGCTTCAATGTCTGTTAGAAGAAAGAAGGAAATTGATAAGAAGAGCCACACCCGGTCGGTGTCAGCCAGGGATGTTTCCGTTTTCACTTTGTTATTGCTTCATGGGTTAAAAGTTCAACTTTGTGTGCAAAGTGATATGCATGTAGAGTAAATGAAATAAACTAATGTACACAAATTCATTCCGCTATTGATTTTATGTAAATATTCTATCTATTTTTTTTTATGGATTTTTATAAACGTTTTAATTTCAAGAATATTCCGAAATTTGAAAAGAGATGTAACTTTCGTTGACTGCTTCTGCGGACAGGTGTACAAATAAGTAGAATTTTCATTTACACTGTAAACCTTCTCACTTTTCTCATTGGGCTACAAGAGAGGCTCAAGACTTAAGAAACATCTCTGTTATTGAGGTAAGTGTCGGCTCTACAAAATTTGGATCAGTCACGCATATATTTGGATCCTAACCTATATAAGGATATCACGAATATTTTTTTTTTTTGGTCCACCTGCACTCGTTGAGTAAGTACCCTCGCGGCCTCGGGACATTTACAGGGCATATTAAATTTCCGTGTGCCATCCGGCACGGTGAAGTTAACTCTTCAGGACAATGTGCCCCTTGAAACGCCAGAGGCATGTCTCTTTCGCAGATATCAAATTTTGAAAAGCGTTCGGTAAATTAATTGTTAAGTGCTTAGCAGAATAGGTGGGAAATATTTTGCTGTAAATATTCTCAGTCGACAAGATATTCCGAATCAATGTATTTATAATAGTTTCCCAATATGTCCCTGCAACTGACTGTCGGTTAGCCACAAAAACTTATACAGATAAATTGAAAGATTGGGTTTTAAACATATCCTTATGATATTTTTAGAACCGGTTTAACTAGAACTATATCTACTTTAATTGACCTGGCTGCCTATCTCGATATCCTTGTCTAAAACATCAAAAATGATTTAAATTTATTTTTTTCATTCGCTTAACATCATCGTCAAAAGCACGCTTGGATTTAAGATTAATATTAAGCTGTAGTTAAAGTTAAATTTTGGATTTACAAATAAAATTTGGATTTACAGTTAAGGATGAACTTGAGATTATAGTGAAGGGTAAAATCGAACCTAGATTAAATTCAAGATTAAACTTACAAGTCAGCAATATAAACTAAGGTTTAATTTATTTTTAAAGTTCATATTAAATCTTTAGTTTAACTCAGTGTTAAGATTAAAGTGATATTTAGAAATCAATTAAACTTAGGTTTAACCTTAAGCCTAATGTTCAGCTTGAGGTTGAGCCTAATATTAAGCTTGGAAATAAATTAAAGGTTAAACTCGAAGTTAAGATTAATGACAAATTTTGAAAGACCTTAATACGCTTTAAAGCCTATGTGATTTTGTATGCCTTTCGATTCTTGCATGGTAATTGATTTAGGGGTCGATTCGAACACAACGTATTAGGAAGGCTTACGCCTGCGAAGCATGTTACATGTCTTTTGCACTTTATAACGACTTAAGGAATGTTTTCGACGAGTATGAAAACATTCGGTATGAAAAGTATTTTTTACTTACTTGATGCCTAATTTAATTAGATCGATAAAACTAAGGGTTATATCCATTTTTAGAAAAGATGTTTGCAAACCTCAAATGCTTAAGTAATTTAATTATTATTATTATTTTTTTTTTTGTTTTATTCACTTTCTATTATTCAGTCGTGATATTTTAATTATAAGCACTTATCAAAAACTGGAAATTATACAAAGGTCACTAAATTATTCTATTGCGATAAGTAATGTTTAATGTCAGTATAATTAAATTTTTCTATTTTTAAACATTTCTACGAACGAAAGCAAAATATAATTCAAACGTTATCCCATTAGCGGGGCATGAAAAATTTTGTAAAAATTTTATCCAAACTTAAATACAAGTTGACGTTAATTAGAATTAATTTTATTATTATGATATTTTATCAGCAAAGTCATATAATTCACTTTCAATTTCTTTTTAAATATATATACATGTATATATGTATATTCATTATATTCGTGCTAAAGTGATATCAGCACGTTTCGATGTTCATTCGAAAACTGATTAAACCCAAGAACTTTATAGTAAAATTGCATGTGGAACTTTGCTTTGCCTCTCAATATGCATGTGCGGCATTTGCGTTTTTATGTATTTGTGTGTGTGTTCATATATTTGGTGATCTATATGGCATTTAGTAGATAGAGTGAACGGCGGCAATTAAACGATAAGGGTGTTGGGAGCAAATGCTTGATCTTTTGTTTTTGTAAAATCTTTGTACACTTATTCCTATTATTTTGTTTATTTTTGTGTGTAAATAAGCCTTTCATTTGCTCTCTCGATCGTTTCGCCGGCAATTTTTTTTATAGCTTTTAATGAAAACTTCGTTTGTTTGCTTTCTTTTATTGGGGGCTCGTAAATTGTCAATAGCTCGGGCAAGCAACCGTTCGGTTCTCATTCTCATTCTGAATCTTTCTCCCTCTCTCTCTCTCTCTCTCTCTGTCATTCTTGTAGCTAACACTTACATACTTATTTATAGCCAATTAATTTCTCTCTATTAAACATTGTACACTTTCCATACGCCTGCACAAACAATGCTTGTTAACCGCAATTGTATCTGGTGAAGATTTACGTAGAGATAAGCGTATTAAAAACGTTTTGAGGATCAAATTCGAACTCGATTTAGTATCAAATTATCGCATTATTTTTTTATTACAATTATATCATCAATATGTCAATTTACACGGTCGATTCTCCATTTAAGAGCATAATAAAGTCACAATCTTGAATGAATCCTTAAGAAGCGACATTTTAGATCGCTCGACTTGATGCAGGGGTTGAGCTGTTTAGCTCCATTCATAGTTTGAATATCGGGTCTGCGATGTTTCATAGTCATCATATAAGTCTCATCTAAAGTAGATTGTTCAATACATTATTCCATTCGGCGCCATACTCGTCTAAAATCAGTGAAAAACCCTTACTCGTTCTCCTCCTTTGCATATTAGACAGGGCCTTGGTGGTCCACTTAGCAAATACTTTCTGTACGTAAGACGGATGAGATGTGACAGATATTCCTTTGTCTCAGCGGAAAGTAGAGCAAGTGAAGTTTTGAGAGTCTTCACCAAGCAAAAAGTGGTAGCTTTAATGGGCGAAAAGTATAGTAAGTAAAAATCGCGGTGTTCGCGGTTTCAAATCTCAAGTCCAATAGAATTCACTTTGTTTCTATCTATAGTGAGGACTCAACCGGTAAAGGCATAATACTTGCCATCTCCCCATCTCTTCCTCGTCATTCACCTCTTTCGGATCTTTATCGCGTTACACGAATAGAAGATACTTGAGCGAATGGTCCTCACCAAAAAATAAGAGAAAAAAATTTACATGCCGATTTCTCTGTATCATCGGCTTTGAAGTACTTTTTTGTATATATATTCACGGCAGGAAGCAAAATTCAGCCTGTGGATCATTTCTATTAGGTTATTACCGAGATTCACGAGATCTGAGAGCGGCGAGAAGATTCTTCGAAGAAATATAGCTGTTTAGAAAATCTGTTCGTTAATTAACATTTTTTTCGGTGATGATTCTGCTGATGGTCTCATTACTCAACATTGGTTGTTCACACGAAATCTCTCTAGCAAGTCCCAATACTTTCTGATCGATAAATCATGTGGACTTTCTTATCTAAGAAAGAGAAGATGTTTGTTTGCTTATTTGGTTAATTGCAAACATTTCTATGATCCATAGTGGTACGGGTAGTGGGAATGACCCAGACGTACATCGTAAGCAATTTATGAACTCTAAAGTATGTGTTTCATACGTTTATTAGGCACATTAATATCGTATCAGCGGTTAAGTTTTCGAATTGATAATGTTTAGTAATTATTAAGAAAGTAACAACAACAACGACAACAATAACAATAAGGACTTTTACTTCATTTTCTTTTAAACAAATAAACGCATTTCCATTTAATTGAAATTATTTTTTTTTTTTTTTTTTTGTATTATAAACTTCATCATCCGACGAATTTTATTACAACGAGACAACATTTTCTGGTATATTAAGTGCAAACTGCATAGAGGTGTGTTGTCGTAAGGCAAGAAGAAGCAAACAACCATAAAAAACAAAATTTACAAAGATTTAAAAGATAAGAAAGAAATAATTGAGAAATCCTGCTGAGAGAGGAAGAGAACCAACTCGAATAAAAAAAATAAAAAAAAAAGACGCTTATAAGACGAGGTGATATAATTTCAAATGAAATTGAAAAAGTTTTATGAGCATTTTACAAAATAAACAACAACAGAACGTAGACTATGTGTAAAGCGACGCTTCTCTTATAGCACAGTTAGAAAATTATAAAGTAAATGAATGTAAAAGCGACGGTGGTGGGCTATTGTTACTTTTTTGTAAAATAACAGGCGTTTTAATGCATATGTATACACATACATACTGATGGTTAATATAGACATTACTTTATTGTTAACAAGCACACATACACATAGGGAAAAAGTGCTAATAGCGCGAGTTGCTGTTTATCAAGCAGCGCCGAAAGGCGGATTAAGAAGAAAAAACAAATTGTTCAGTTAATCAAGTATGAAATAATTTTCTTATTTACAGGCATCGCTCGTATAACGCAGTTAATTCATACTCGTGCTATGTCGAAAACATGCGATATGAAAAGTTTTATATTTTTTATATTTATTTTAGTGAGATACAATAAAAAATAATATAATTTCAGTTTCGATGTAATATAAAGCGTCGGCAATTTGCATCCTCTTAGACCAAAACCAAAACCTTAAAGTGTAAAATTATATGATTGCAGAAATTACGTTCCAAATATACATATAAATGAAAAAGTAACTTAAAGTTTTTATAAAACAATAAGCAGAAATATAACAGTGGACCACGGTCCACCATTAAATACTCTACACCAGCCTACAGTTGTTGCTATGATCGATTTTTTTAAATAACGCATTACTATTAATTCTCTTTTTACACGATTTTTATTTGTACGAATTATCATTTAACACGAATTAAAACAAAATAGTTCTCTTCTTACAGGAATTTTATTTATACGAAATTTGATTTAACACGAATTAAAAAGCAAAATAATTCTCTTCTTACACGAATTTTATTTGTACGGATTTTGATTTAACACGAATTAAAAAGCAATATAATTCTCTTCTTACACGAATTTTATTTGTACGAGTTAAAAAGAAAAAATCATTTTCTTTTTACACGGATTGTTTTGTTTTGACACGATTTTCAATATTCTACAATTTTCTTTTATAAATTTTTTAATGGATTTTTTGATGTTTCTATGAATTTGTTTATTCTCACCTTTTATGAATTTGCATTATAAATTCACGTTACATTTTTCACAATTGGATTATGGCAATTATATGCGTACAAGAGTGGGATTCACCGAAATATGGATGAAGTAAAAATGTAATGTATTTTTATTTTGGTTTTGCGAATTATAATTTATTATTTATTATATATTGAATGAATTAAAGTGTATAAGCACCAAATAATTCCTTAAGGGAACTTTTGAATATTTTTTATTTAACCAGTCTACTATTTTTTCAATACCTTTCTTTAACGATTTTGGAATGTGTCTATCGTGTAAAAAATTAATTAGATGTGTATGTGGTCAAAAATGGAATCCGATCCGAACCGTTTTCAGTCTCGTCCTTGTCTCGGTGTATTAAATTTCATCAAAATATCTCAAAAGTTGCGGTTTAAAAGTTGAATATCAATAAGAAAGACGGACAGATAGGCGGATCTGCTTAAAGTGATCCTGCATCGATCGGAATGATAAAAGATGGGTGCAACTCAAATCCAAAAATTAAGAATACAGGAAAAAATTTATTCAAAAAGAAGCGACAACAATATAATGGGCCACAGTCTACTGTTATGTACTCTACACCACCTCACAGTTATTCGTAGAGAGACGTTTCAAAATGAGATGTTACGTGGAAAATGATAGAAAAACCTTTTTTCAATATCTTTCAGGGTCATAAATTTCATAAAAATATTCCAAAAATTTCGACGGACAGACCAACTTATGACAATTCAGAGACCGATCGGTATTATAAAAACTAGTCCTATCTTCAGCCTTTACACATTGTCCCACCACTAGGAAAAAGAAACTCAGAGGTTTTTCTGTAGCAATAAAAGTCAAGATTCCCTTTTATCGAATTTAATTGAATATAAATCCAGCAGGAAATGTACATATTTTTTAAAATCGTGTTACCATTGTGGCGAACTTTTTATCAGGTAATATCGAACCGCTACCGTTATGCAAGAGATGCCTGTGCTATATTGAGCATATATATGTAAATTTGTTGATGAATGGTTTGCTTAAACGAGAAGATAATTTGAAAAAGAAAGCATAAATTAACTTTGCTTGCATTTCATTACAATTTGTTGTTAAATTAATTTTCAAAATTCATTTATTTTTAATGAAAATATTATCAAAAACTTCTCTTTCTTTCTCTTTCCTCATTTCTTTTGGACTGGCACCGAGCTACGCGAGGAGGGGACATCGCAAAAAAAAAAAAAAATAAAAAAAAAAATGTGACAAATCATTCACGGGATGTCCGTTGTGTGTTTGTAAGCCGAAGACGGTCAGAAACAAGTGAAAGAGGAGTAAAGGATAGGGAGACGGTCAAAATTTACCGGATATGCGCCAAATCGAAAATTATGTGCATTTACCGACTGAGCACTCCTTATAGCTATAAGCGCGTGCGTACTTGTCTACTTATGCTACTCCCTCCTTTTACAATTCATAAAGAGTCCTCAGAAATCCCACAAAGCATATATATTCCCAACAGGCCAGATAATTTCTTTTCTCAATCGGTCGCATTACTTTTTCATAACATTGGTCAGGAAAAGTTAGAACATAGAATCGGTTCTTGCCGCGTGTTAAACATTGAGCAATAATTCCCAGGTCTAGGCGGA